TGAAACCCTGCCTCTACTAAAAAAAAATTAGCTGGGTGTCATGGTGCATGCCTGTAATCCCAAATACATGGGTGGCTGAGGGAAGACAATCGCTTGAACCCAGGAGGCAGAGGTTGCAGCGAGCTAAGATCACACCCTTGCACTCCAGCCTGGGCAAAAAGAGTGAAACTCGGTTTCAAAAAACAAAATCGTGACACGGTCTTGCTCTGTTGCCTAGGCTGGAGTGCTGTGGCATGATCATAATTCACTGTGGCCTCAAACTCCTGGGATCAACTGATCCTCCTGCCTCAGTGTCCCAAGTCCCAGGGACTACAGGTACATGCCACCGTGCCAGACTAATTTTATTTTTATTTTTAGAAACAGGATTGTTACCTAGACTGGTCTTGAATTCATAGCTTCAAGCTATCCTCCTGCCTCAGCTGACCAAAGTGCTGGGATTATAGGTGTGAGCCACTGTGGCTGGCTTTCTATTCTCTATTTCTAGGAGATAAGTTTTTTTTTAGTTTTCACATGTGTGAACATGTGGCATTTATCTTTCTGCGCCCAGGTTATTTCACTAACATAATGTATTCCAGGCTCACCCATGTTGATGTGAATGACAGGATTTCATTCTCTTTTAATGGCTAAATCACATTCCATTGTATATATATAGTCCACATTTTTTTATCCATTCATCTTTTGACAGACACTTATGTTGATTCTCTATCTCAGGTATTATGAGTAGGGCCACAATAGGCATGAGGGTGAAGATCTCTTCAACATACTGATTCCCTTTCCTTTGCATATATATTCCGAAGTGGGATTACTGGATCAGATGATATAGCTATTTTTAGGTTTTTAAAGAGTCTCCATACTGTTTTTCACCAGTTTACATTCCCACCAATAATTGGTCCTGAGTTGATTTCTCACTTGAGCAGCATGGTAGTTAGACTTAACTTCGTCTACATCTGGCCCATCACTTGCCAGTTGTTTGATCTTGGGAAAGGCACTCATTTCTTTGTATCTCAGGTTTCTCATCTGTAAAATGGGTATATATCAGTAATTAATTCACACGTCTGTGTAAGGATAAAAAAGACAGTATATATAAAAGGCTTCCACCTTTTATAAGAAATAGTGATTTGATGATACTCATTGTTATTATGTTATTTTATTCCACCTTATTTATTTATTTAGATACAAAGTCTAATCCTGTTGCCCAGGCTGAAGTCAGTGGCACAATTATACTTCACTGCAGCCTCAAACTCCTGGCCTCAAGTGGCCTCATCTCAAGTTTTTTATTTTTATTTTATTTTAATTTTAATTTTTTCTTTGAGACGGAGTTTCACTCTTGTTACCCAGGCTGGAGTGCAACCGCAACCTCCGCCTCCTGGGTTCAGGCAATTCTCCTGCCTCAGCCTCCTGAGTAGCTGGGATACAGGCATGTGCCACCAGGCCCAGCTAATTTTTTGTATTTTTAGTAGAGACGGGGTTTCACCATGTTGACCAGGATGGTCTTGATCTCTTGACCTTGTGATCCACCTGCCTCAGCCTCCTAAAGTGCTGGGATTACAGGCATGAGCCACCGCACCCGGCCAAGTTTTTTTATTTTTATGTTTGTGGAGAATGGGGTCTCACTATGTTGCCTAGACTGGTCTGGAGTGAGCCAAAATGCGAGGCCTCATCTCTGTATCTCTAGGGTTAGTCACTAGCACCTTAAATTTTTCATTTAGTGATGTCATGTTTCTCTTTTTGATCTTGATCCTTATGGCTGTGTGCCAATGTCTGTGCATTGACATAGGTACCAAAGCCAGTCTTCATCGTCTGGCTTTGTTTGGGCTCTTCTTTCATCAGTACCAGATTAAGGAGAGGCTGATTGGTCAGGACCCTAAGCCCATGACTGCATCAGCTGTTGTAGTGCTAGGGCATGCCCTAAGCCCAGGATCACTGCGGTTGGAATTCTTTGGCTGCTGAGACTGACACAGCCCTGGGTCACACCTGAAGCACAGCACTGGGCATGCCCAAGACTCATGGCTGTGATGGCTTGCCTACTGCTGCTGAGATTTATTCAGGGCCCAAGGTCACTGTAGTTGGCAGGTGGTGATGTGGGCCAGATCCCAAGTCTTTGTCTCTGGGGCTGTGTGTTCTCATCTGGCACTAGGGTGATAAGATCTGCCTGTGGGTACTGGTCTAGTATCTGGGAGATGCAGCTCTGCCCAGTACTGGGCTTTACTGTTGTGAACCTAGCACTGAGTTCCCAGGCAAAGTCCTCCACTTACCTCTCTTTTTCCCTCAAGCAAACAGTGTCTCTCTTCATGCTGCTGTGCTGGGGTTGGGGGAGGGGTGCACCTGTGGCCACTAAGGCTGACACAATATTGGATCACACTCAGTTCACTGCCGTGAGACCAGCCCAGCACCAGGATGCGCCTAGGGCCTGAGGGTGCTACAGCCTGCCTGCAGCTGAGATTTATCTGAGGCCTGTGATTGCTGCAGCCGGCTGGCGGTGATGCAGCCAGAACACAAGTCTGTCCTACCAGGGCCCTAGGTTCCCTTCCAGTGTGGGGTGGGTTGAGAGGCTTCCTCTGGGGGTACCAGCCTGGCATGAGGGGCTGAGGGTCTCTGCTCAATGCTGGCTTTTTCTGAAGTGGGCCTGATCCTGGGTTGCAAAGCAAAGTCTTATGCGAGCTTCCCTGTCCTTCCCCAAGAGGGTGTTACGGGTTAGGATTTGGCAGTCCATTTTGAGGAAGAATGGATATGTGTGGGACCCAGGGTAGGGTCCCAACCTAGGTCTCTATGAGGCATCTCCCCAGGTATCTCCTGCTCTTTGGCATCAGAACAGAATCCCCCCTTCTCGAATCCTTACCTACCCGCATTGTATTTTCACAGAGATCCCATCGTGCCTGGCTCACTCACATGAGCTCTTCCTGGAAGTGAGGTCGTGCTATTCCCAACATGGGCCTGGCAGTCAGGCTTTGGGGTTTTGGATTGATCACAAATGGTCAAGGCTATTGGGCTCCTGAGACGAACTTGTCAGTCAGTCCTGGCTGAGTCTCCACAGTCGCCAGCAGATCTTGTCAGAAAGAAGGAAGCAGACAGCAACATGAAGAGGAAGAGAAGCAGCCCAGAGAGCATCCTGGGGCCTGGGACTACCCTCATGTCATTAGCCCGTCCCATTTTTCTCTTCCTGACTGCATGTCAATGCTTGCCTCACCCCCTGAGCTCTGAAGCAGCAGAGCTTTGTGGCTGATGGCACCTGCTTTCTTGTGCCTGAATTTCTGCATCTTTCATATCAGGATGCAGCCTGGGCTTTAGGAAAATCTTATTTCGGATAATAACAGTACGAAACAGGGGGTTGTTGGGAGGATTAAATGGGGTGATCTGTGGAAACTGTTTTAAGCCAGTGCTGGGTGTCTAGTGACAGTTAGCCTTAGCTCCCATATTTACTGCTGAGGTACCTTTGTACCAGTCTGTCTGGAGACAACATGCTCCTGATGATCTGGGAGCAGAAATCTGTGCTCACCTGCAAACCCAAATTTTTTCTTTTTCATTGCCATATCTCATAAGCAAAGCCCTTTCCTCAAAAATTCTGACTTTACTGCTACTTCCTCCCTCTTAAATTGCCCACCTTGTGGGGTCTGCGGAGCCTAAGGTTGGGTTGGAAGAGAGGAGGCTGGGTGCTAGGCTTCAGAGAGATGCCTTTTGTTTTTCTCCTATTTTTGTAAGTTCCTTCTGACTTTCAGCCTCTCAGGGTGAGATTGTGTTAGATGAATCTTCCCCAAACCTGCCTTCTAATCTCCTGCCTCCCCCCTGTGGTGGGTACTGGGCAGAGACCTCTCCCGTGGCATTGGACATAGACAAACTGGGGAGTTCCTCTCGTCCACTGAGACCCACAGATGCACATTTGGACTCAGCTCCATGTAGAATACTTTGAATGAGAGGAACCCATAATTCTCAGTTATGTTTTCTCTAATGTTTCTTTTTCTTCCCCAACAATTGCTTGTACTACTCATTTGGCAGTGAATAATTTACATTTTTGGCGACATCTCATTTTTCCTAATGGACTATTAAAACTTCTTTTTGTCGAACTTTTTAAAAACTCTTTTTATTGAACTTTTTTTCTCTCCCACTTTCTTTTTTTCCCTCCTTTATTTTTTCCTTCCCTCCCTCCTTCCTTCCTTTTTTCCTTCCTTCCTTCTTTTTTTCCTTCCTTCCTTCCCTCCCTCCCTCCTTTCTTCATTCCTTCCTTCCTTCCTTCTCTTCCTTTCCTTTTGATGGAGTTTTGCTGTGTGGCCCAGGCTGGAGTGCAGTGGCCTGTAACCTCCACCTGCCAGGTTCAAGCAATTCTCCTGCCTCAGCCTCCCAAGTAGATGGGATTACAGGCACACATTACTACACTCAGCCAATTTTTGTAGAGACGGAGTTTCACCATGTTGGCCAGCCTGTTCTCTAACCCCTGACCTCAGGTGATCCACCTGCCTCGGCCTCCCAGTGTTGGCATTACAGGTGTGAGCCACTGTGCCTGGCCCATGTTATCAAACTTTTTAAAGTTTCATGCTTGATATCTTCTCTCCAGTTTGTTTGCAATCTCTTGAGTGAACACTTTGTACCACTCAGAGAACTTTATAGGGTTTGATGTCTTTGGTAGATTTAAGAAATCATTTTATTTTTGTTAACTTCTTGTTTTTTAAGACAGAGTTCCGTTCTTGTCCAGGCTGGAGTACAGCAGTGCAATCGTGGCTCACTGGAACCTCCGCCTGCCAGATTCAAGCAATTCTTCTGCCTCAGCCTCCCAAGTAGGTATTATAGGCACCTCCCATGATGCCCAGCTGATTTTTTTTGTATTTTTAGTAGAGACAGGGCTTTTGCCATGTGGACCAGGCTGGTCTCCAACTCCTGACCTCAGGTGACCCACCTGCCTCAGCCTCCCAGAGTGCTGGGGTTACAGGCATGAGCCACCACACCCAGCAGTTTCAAATTCTTTACCTAGGCCTTGCCCTCAGTATTTTTTTCTCTTCCCCTTATAGGCCTGGTTGGTTTACACAACGTTGGACAGACCTGCTGCCTTAACTCTTTAATTCAGGTTTGTAATGAACGTGGACTTCACCAGGATATTGAAGAGGTAAGCCTCTTCTTCAGGCTGATAAGCATGTGTATTATTTCATTTTTAATATATTCAGTTATTCACAGTGACTTGAACTTTTTGAGATGTTCTCTCAAAAGTTGGCAGAGAGAAGTCCTGTTTCTGCATATTCTGGATTACACATTATTTCTGAAACTTCTTAGGTTGGTATAGGATTGATACTTTTTAAAAGCACTCCTTGGGTGACTTTAAAGTGCAGCCAGGATTGATGGCCACTGACTTGGTTAAAGAGACAGTTGGAACTAGACTGATGTTGGGAAGGAGTCAGTGGACAGTACACACTTCCCTTCCCCCAACACTCACACAATGTGCGCTCTCTCTCTCTCTCTTTCTCTCTCTCTCTCTCTCTCTCTCTCTCTCTTTCTTTCTGTCTTTATCACTCCTTTCCTGCCCTGTGCTCTCTCCTTTTTCTCATCCAGGTAGTGCCTGTAATTAAATGAATCATTGCCAAACCACAAGGAAAGCCCTTCGTGTTGCCCTTTCTTCCTGGGGCTTAACCCAGCTTGTGCCTCTGCAGTTTGGAGAGCTTTAGGCTGGACGTTTGCTGCTTGCCTGAGATGTGGAGCCAGGACCTCCTCATGCACCTGCCCTCTGCTCTCACATGACTGCTGGGCAGAGTGTAGAGGGGCTGAGGCAACAGTCCTCTCTAGAGGGTCTCCTGTACAGCAGATTTACTCATGTGGTGCTTCTCAACCTTGGCCACACATTGAAATAATCTGGGGAAATAAAACATTCTGATAACTGGGCCCCACCCTCCAGAATTCTGGTGTAATTTGTATGGGCGTGGCCTGGATATGGAGATTTAAATTTTTTTCCAAGTGATTACAGTGTACACTTAACTTCAAAAACTACACGTAAGGAAGTTTCCATCCATTCTTTTGTGGCAGGACCATGGTTCCCAAGGGAGCTGACAAGCAGAGGAGAAGTGTCCCTTTCCAGCTGCTTCTTCTGCAGGTGAAGATGGAGGACCACTGGCAGAATGCAGTGCAGCCCCTGGAGCTGGCCTACTTCCTGCAGAAGTACAGCATGCTGGTAAGATGCCATCCTGCTGGGCTCCTGCCTGCTGATTCCAAGGGGGTGGGAAGCTTAAAGGCAGAGTGAAGAGAGGAACTAACAGCCAGGGAAGCAAAGAAACAAGTTAGGTAGCCTGGAACTCTCAGATTATAGAGACATTTGTGTAAGAGACACACATTTTTGGAGGTGCAGAATTGATATTATTTATGGACATTTTACTTCCATACCGCCCTTTTTCTGCTTCTCAGTAGCGTAAGCAAAGGCTTATCCTCCAAGCTTATTCAGCCACAGTTAAGGAACTGCAGGAAAACAGAATAAAGGAATAAAAAACAAAACATGTTCTACAAAATAATTCATAAATAGGTTAGGTTTTTTTAAGACAGCAATATTGAGATGTGCATCACATACTGTAAAATTCATCCATTTAAAAACATACAATTCAGAGGTTTGTAGTGTATTCACAGAGATGTGCCCTCATCACAATCTAAGTTCATAGTATTTTCATCACTCCCAAAAGAAATCCCATACTTACAGGTTTTCTGTTGTGTATAACACACTGCTTTTCTCATGCTGCTTTCAGAATCCTTTGTCTTTAACTTTTTAAATCAATTATGATGTGGCTTGGTGTGGGTTGTCTTATGGTGTCCTTTGGGCTTCCTGGATGCAGATTTCTATTTTGTCCCTGGTTTGGGAAGTTTTCTGTCATTACAGCTATGTGTTGCTTAACATCAGAGATATGTTCTGAAAAATGCATCAGTAAGTGATTTTGTCATTGCGTGAACATCATGGAGCAGACTTCACAAACCTAGATGGGGAAGCCTGCTAAACACCTAGGCTATATGCTATGGCCATTGTGCTTATTTGGTGTGCCATTGACTGAAATGTCAATCTGCCACGCATGACTGTTATTTCTTTGGATAAAGTTTCTGTCTTTTCTCACTCTCCTCCTTCTGGCACTCTGATAATGCCTATTTTGGTCTGCTTTCTGTCCCACAACTCTGTTTAGATATCTTCACTCTTTTTCTTTTTTGAAACAAAGTCTCACTCTGTCACCCAGGCTGGAGTGCAGTGGCATGATCTTGGCTCACTGCAACCTCTGCCTCCCAGATTCAGACAATTCTCCTGCCTCTGCCTCCTGAGTAGCTGGGATTATAGGTGTGCACCACTATGCCCAGCTAATTTTTGTATTTTTAGTAGAGCCAGGGTTTCACCATGTTGATCAGGTGAGTCTCAAATTCCTGACCTTGTGATCCACATGCCTCAGCCTCCCAAAGTGCTGGGATTACAGGCCTGAACCACTGGGTTCAGCATCTGCACTCCTTTTCATTCATTTTTATTTTTGCTTCTCGAATGATTTCCAGCGACCTATCTTCTAGTTTGCTAATCCTTTCTTCTGCTTGATTTAGTCTGTTGAGCTTCTTTTGTGAACTCTTATTTCAGTTATCGTATTCTTCAGCTCTATTATTTGTTTGATACTTTGAACCTTTTTCTATCTCTTTGCTGAAATTCTTACTTTATTCATAGTTTGCTCTCCTAGACATGGTAAACATATTCATGATCATTATTTTGAGTAGTCATTAGGTAAGTCACTTATCTTCATTTCACTGGGGCATACATATTTCTCTGTTTCTTCATTGTTCCAGATTCTGTTATTTTCTGTACATTAGATAAGAAAAATACCTTTCACAGTCTTGTCCCACTGGCCTTGTAGAGGAGATGAACTTGCCAAGTAGCCCTGCCAGAGACTTGGAGCACCTCTTGACCTGTGCTTGCCCAAACTGCCATCTATGCCCTTAGCAGCCCTCAGGAGATTAGAATGTGTCAAGTCCTGTCAGTTACCCAGACAGGGGAGATAGAAGCCAGCCCCTTGAGGTGCAGCTGGAGATGTTGGGGCATTTCCAGTTTATTCTATCCTTAGGGAAAAGCTGGGAGCATGAGTTTATCCTTCACTGGCTCTGCAATAAGCTGGACAGAGGATCTGTGGCAAGTGCCTGCACTCCCTGTTTAAACTGCACACACCCTTGATGCATTGCTTGCCTCTTTGTCACCCCAGGGGCCTAGTGAATGCTGGCTCCTGTCTAGGTTAGTTGGAAGCTTGGCGCTATCTGTGGAGCAAACCAGTGAGAGCAGCTGTGGAAGTGCTCACCTACCTGTTCAGGGTCTCAGAGGAGTACTGGTTTCCTGCTCTGTCAGCTCCCAGATGCATGGCAGCCCCAGGGCAGCAGCTGCACATGTGCAGACAGACACCTTCTAAGAAGAAAGTGAGAGCCGGGCATTTCTGCCTATTCACACTGCCCTCAGTGGGCCTGGGGGTTAGCACTGGAAGTGCTTACATGCGCATCTCACACCTGTTCTTTGATACCTGTGGGCTTGTGGGACTGACAAATACAGAGCCTCATCAGCTCCCAAAGCTCAGTGATTGAGGAGCTAGTCCTTCATTCGAGAGAGCTAAATGTTGTGTACTCAATGTGTGATGTTAGAGACCTGATTTTATCCTGGGGTAGGGGGTGGGAGAAGGCATGGGACTTGCCCACATGCCTGACCAGACTCCTGGAAATCTATTGTTGTTGGCTCCAGGTGCTGACTAGTTATTAATAGAAGCCCATCCCTCACCTCGGGCAACAGCTAGGAGAGCCTGCACACATACCCTTCCAGGGAGAAATTGGGAGCCTGATATTTCTGCATGTTTGCTCTGTGCTGAGCACAGGGGCACAGCTGCTGGAAATGCTCACATGCCCATTTAAAACTGCCTCTTTGCCTTCTGTTATCGCAGAGGATTCATGGCTGCTGACCCATGTCCACTCCCAGGGCTAGGTGACCTAGCAGCCAAGCCCTTGAACTGCAAAAGCTGGGGCTGTCTGTGTGTGGTCTAAACCCTTCATTCTTCAGGAGAAAGTCAGGAGTAGGGATTCCTTCCTCAAAGCAAGGTACTGGGTCTAAGGTGGGGCTTGCGGTGTGAGTGTGTCTGAGCTTTTTCAACCCATTTTGATGTGGATGTTTTCTCCATTGTCCCATGTGCAGGACTCTCTCAGCTAGTTTCTGGGTTTCTTTCTTTCTGTCCACGGGAGAGGAGAGCACCAGGATCCCCCTTTTCTATCATCTCACTTATGTCACTCTGTGATTCTTTTTATTGAATTTGATTCACTAATATTTTGTTGAGGAATTTTGCATTTATGTTCACGAGAGATACTGGTTTCTAGGTTTTTTTTCTTAAAATGTCTGTCTGGTCTTGGTATTAGGATAATGCTGGCCTCAGAGAATTAGTAAGTGTTCTCTCTGCTTTTGTCTTCTGGAAGAGATTGTAGGGAATTGGTATAATTTTCCCATAAATGTTTGGTAGAACCCATCATTCACTAGGGAACCCATCTGGGTATAACTGAGTACTCCCATTTTCTTAGAGATAGTTTATTTTTCTTATGTTATTTCCTTTTCACTTCTCCCCTTCCCTCCCAACCCCCAACCCCCATGTTTCCCCCTTTTCTGTTAGCCCTTTAGAAATGCAAAAATCACCCTTTACCTCTCGCAGGGAAAAATAATGAATCTGTAAACTTAGAGATAGGTTGATTGAGGTTTGATTGAGAACAGGGCACGTTCTTTCAGCTCATCTTTCCTGAGACTTGGCAGTAGATTTGCAGCCCAAAGCATACCCACCAGGGAGCTCTCCCTGCCATGGGGTGGTTTTGAAACCCCTTCAGGGGTTAGCCTTTCACCCACTAGGAACACATGGAGAAAGCACACTCACTTGGCCACTTTGACAGCTTACTTCTGCCCAGAAAGGTGGCAACTCAGCTTCCAGGTACAAGGTAACTGCCTGGGAGACAACTACCATTGCTCACTCCCCCTACCCCCACAACACACCTTATGAAAATGCCCCTTTCTCCTCCAAAGGAGAAATGGCACATGAAAAAGGCAGGATACATCATACTCTGTCCCCAAGCTGGCTTCAGAATAAATTCATGTTTTTGTATAAAACCTTCTTTTGTATTACACTTGTTTTTGTATCACTTGTGGTGAGCAGCTAACCAGCTTTTTGGCTGCATGGACACTACGTTCAGTTTTCCTTCCATCTTCAGTCTGGATAACCACACTCAACCAATTTCCAAGTCTATGGATTCTTTCTTTTACCAGCTCTAATCTGCTGTTGACTTCCTCTGGTAAATTTTTCATTTCCATTATGGTACTCCTCAACTCAAGAATTTCTGCTTGGTTCTTTTTCTATGGTTTTTTTCTTTATTGATACTCTTCGTTTGGCGAGACAGCATTTTCTTACTTTTACTTCTTTTGACATGGTTTTTCTTAGTTCTTTGAACATATTATAACAGCTAAAGTCTTTGTTTAGTAAGGCCAGCACCTAGGGCTTCTAGGTGAAAAGTTCTACTGACTGCTGTTTTCCTGTGTGTGGCCACACTTTTCTGTTTCCATTGTATGTCTTGTCTCTCTGTTGGAAAATGAACATTATAGATAACGTAAGGTGGCAACACTGGACATTTGTTGTTATTGTTCTTGTTGTTGATCATTGTTCAGTGACAACTTCCTGAGCTAATTCTGTGATGTCTATATTCCATGTATTGCCTGGCCACTGACCTCTCCCTTTTATCTTACTGTTCAGATAATAAGCGGTCAGAGATTTCCTTAAATGCCTGAATCGGTGAGTCTTCCAATATTTGTGAAGGGGCTCTGTGTGTTTGTTAGGGCACAATTTCAAAGTGCACACAGTTTATAATTCTGTGTTCACTGTCATTGCTTTCTTGTACATGGCCTTGTGATCAGCCAGAGGGGAAGAATTCAGCCCTCTTAGATCTTGGGCATGTGCGTGGCCTTCTAGATCCTCAGGAATACATCAGTGCTGTTCAAAGTCCCCTGTGAACATCTCATTCCCCAGGCCGAGTGCAGTGGTGTAAGCACAGCTCACTGTAGCCTCAACAGCCTGGGCTCAAGTGATCCTCCTGAGTAGCTCCGACTACAGGTGTGCACCACCACGCTCAATGAATTTTTTAAATTTGTTATAGAGACGGAGTCTTATGTTGCCCAGGCTGGTCTCAAACTCCTGGGTTCAAGCGATTCTCCCACCTTGGCCTACCAAAGTGCTGGGATTATAGGTATGAGCCACTACACCTGGCACTGGAGCTTAAGTTTTAAGAAGTGTTCTCGGCCAGGCATGGTGGCTCATGCCTGTAATCCCAGCACTTTGGGAGGCTGACAGGGGTGGATCAAGAGGTCAGGAGTTCAAGACCAGCCTGGCCAAGATGTTGAAACCCCGTCTCTACTAAAAACACAAAATTTGCCAGGCATGGTGACAGGCACCTGTAATCTCAGCTACTCAGGTGGCTGAGAAAGGAGAATCACTTGAACCCGGGGGAGAAGTTTGCAGCAAGCTGAGATTGTGCCACTGTACTCCAGCCTGGACAGAGTGAGACTCTCAAAAAAAAACAATACCAAACTTACTGTTTGTTTATTGATCACTTCATATGTAGTGCCAACTTAGCCTTTCAGTGGGGCGGGAGGCCAGGAAGAGACAAAGTGGTGAGTGTTTGTGTGCATCTAGGTACCAGGGCATGAGAAGTGACCCTGGGGACCTCACTAATTGGCTGTTCCTTTTCTCTTTTGCCAGTATTTGTCCAGCATGGTGCTGCCCAACTCTACCTCAAAATCTGGAACCTAATTAAGGACCAGAGGACTGATGTGCACTTGGTAAGAGCACTTGAAAGTGTAAGATGCTGATGATTTAACTCATGAGTGGGACAAAGAGCATTAGTGGTTACCATTTCTGGAGATTCTGTCTCTTGGCTCCAACTTCTGGCAGTTGGCCTGACCTGGCTTATGGTGGTGTTTCCATCTCACCTCTCCGCTGCTACCTCCTGCAGATGGGGAGGCTGCAGGCCCTATATGTGATCTGGATGAAGGACTCCTTGTGATTTACCTTGACTGTGCCATGGAGAGTAGGAGAAACAGCAGCATGCTGACCCTCCTAGTTTTGTTTTCAGTGTGGACTCAAAGCCCCTGAAGACATTGGTAAGGAGAGTCTCTTGGTATTTGCTGCTCCCATACATGTTAGTCCATTTTCTGTTGACACAACACAATATCTGAGAGTAGGTAATGTATTTCTTACAGTTCTGGAGGCTGGGAAGTCAAGGTAGAGGGGCTTCACCTAGTGAGGGCCTGCTTGCTGGTGAGGACTCTGAGTCTCAAGGCAAGTCAGTGCAGGGCATCACATGGCAAGGGAGCAAGCATGCTTATGTGCCAGCTCAAGTCTCTCTTCCTCTTCCTGTGAAGCCACCTGTCCCACTCCCAGGAAAACCCATTAATCCATGAGTGGATTAATTCATTCATGTGGGCTGTGCCCTCATGATTCAATGACCACCCCCCTTTCTCTGAAGACAGAGTCTTCCTCTGTCACCCAGGCTGGAGTGGTATTCCCTGTAATCTCTATCTCCCATATTCAAGTGATTCTTCTGCCTTGGCCTCCTGAGTACCTGGGATTACCAGTGCCGCCACCACACCCTGCTAAGTTTTGTATTTTTAGAAGGGCTGGGGTTTCCCCATGATAGGTGTCACTATGATACCAACATGATAGGGTTTTATCATGTTGGCTAGACTGGTCTCAAACTCCTGACTTAAGTGATCTGCCTGCCTCAGCCTCCCAAAGCGCTGGGGTTACAGGCATGAGCCACCATGCCCTCCCCAATCATCTCTAAAAGACCCCACCTTTCATACAGCCACACTGGGGAGTCGGTTTCAACCTTTTGGGGAGGACAAACACTCAAGCCACATCACCACCCAGCACAGTGTTGCCAATTCCCCCTTGCCTCTTGGATCTAGCCCTGGCTTCTGAGAAGTTTCTTATTTCATTTTCATGATTCTGGCTGAGTTCTCCTTTGTTTTGGCAAAAATCTTTTTCCCCTTTTTTCCTCATACTGGTTCCGTAACAGGAACCCCCTCCCGTTTCATTCCTCCAGTCAGTAGGTGACCTTTGAGATCCTGCCAGTGGACCACACCAGGCCAGGCATTAAGGGGGATATGAAGAGAACCAGAAGAAAAGCTGAAACCCTCAGCTGCAAAGTGTGGGAAGGCCATCCCTGATACACTGTTGGTCTGTGTCCCTGCCCAAAAATCTCGTGTTCAGTTGTAATCCCCAATGTTGGCAGTAGGGTCTGGTGGGAGGAGATGGGATCATGGGGGAGGGTTTCTCATGAATGGTTTGCCACCATCCCCCATGGTACTGTCTCTGTGACAGCGAGTGATTTCTCATGAGATCTCGTTGTTTAAAAGTATGCAGCCAGGCAAAGTGTGCCATAGCTCACCTGTAATCCCAGCAATTTGGAAGGCCAAGGTGAGTGGATCACCTGAGGTCAGCAGTTCAAAACCAGCCTGGCCAAAATGATAAAATCCTATCATGATGGTGCAGACTGTAATCCCAGCTATTCAGAAGGTTGAGTCAGGAGAATCGCTTCAAACTGGGAGGCGGAGGTTGCAGTGAGCCAAGATCATGCCACTTCATTCCAGCTCCCCACTTGCTCTCTTGCACCTGCCCCTCCTATGTAAGATGCCTATCATTTGGCCTTCTGCCATGATTGGGAGTTCTCTGTGCCCTCCCCAGAAACAGATGCCACCATGCTTCCTGTCAGCCTGCAGAACCATGAGCCAATGAAACCTCTTTTCTTATAAATTATGCAGTCTCAGCTATTTTCTGACAGCGGTGTGAGAACAGATGAATACAGTACTCTAGGTGGGAAATGCCAATGCTGCCTTTTCCCTTTTCTCTTGGGTGGGGCAGGAGGACGCCCTGCACTGCTTCTTCCAGCCCAGGGAGTTTTCAAGCAAAAGTAAGTGCTTCTGTGAGAACTGCAGGAAGAAGACACATGGGAAACAGCATTCCCTAAACTGGACTCAGCTGTCCCTCGGTGCACACAGGGGATTGGTTCTGGACCCCTGAATTTACTAAAATCTGCACATACTCAAGTCCCCAGTCGGCCCTGCAGAACCCACATATAGGAAAAGTCCGTCCCTCATCTATGCGGTTGTGCATCTGGGATACTGTATTTTTAATGAGTGTTTGGTTGCAGATGTGGAACTCATGCTTATGGCGGAGGGAAGACTGTATTTATTTAAAACAATTTGTGTATTAAGTGGACCCACACAGTCCAAACCTGTGCTGTTCAGGGATCAACTGTCCTTCACTAGTCTGGGGTTTCCTTTTGTGGATTTCCTGATAGAATCATCAGAGGCCCCGAGGGGACTTTGTGGTGGGTGAGAATGGGAATCTGGGTCTGGCTAGGATCTGGGATCGTGGAGTTCTGATCTCTAGAGCCATGGATGTGGCTTCTCAGGTCACATAACTGAGAGGGACCAGAGGAGAAGGCCTGAGGCAGGGCATTTCCCTTTGGGTGAGCTGAGCTCCTTGGAGCAGACACCATGGCTCCCTGGGTCCTGGTGCCTGTGCAGAGCCCTGTGCCCTTGTGCCTCTTGTGGGGACCCGGTGGTGGTAGAATACCCACATTTTGCATTATTCTCAGAGTAGCTCAGCAGATTCAGTGAACGAGAGCCTTGAACTCTGTGATGTCACCCTGCTTCCCTCTTTTTTTGGAAGAGGGTACCATTAGTCCAGACATTTCGTTTACTCCCATTCCAAGTGGACTTTATATCCAGAGTGATTTTGCTTTTTCAGGTCTTGAAGCTGACCCATTTGCCTCAGACCCTGACAATCCACCTCATGCCATTCCCCATCAGGAATTCACAGGTGAGAAAGATCTGCCACGCCCTGTACTTCCCCCAGAGCCTGGATTTCATCCAGGTGCTTCCAGTGGAGTGAGAGCTCTGTGATGCTGAGGAGCAGGTGGGATGCTTCCGACCGTGCCATCTTTCTTCTTTCTAAATATTGGATTTGTGTTCATATGCCTCACAGCACTGAGGGACAGAATCCAGAATTCAATAGGCTCCTTTGGAAATAACATGTGGAATACATAGAAATGCATAGGCAAACATGTCACTGTGGGTTCTTAGTACCAACCAAACTTTCTTTCTCAAATGGCCCGTGCCTGCTTTGATGATAATCATAAAGTAGCCAGTTGACTGGACCACATTTAATCAGAGTAAAGTTTAAATCACTTGTCCTGAGACAACCTATTGAGAGATTCTGAGAAAAAATGACACAGGCCAGGTGATGTGGCTCATGCCTGTAATCCCAGCACTTGAAAATGCTGAGGCAGGAGGATCACTTGAGCCCAGGAGTTCAAGACCTGCCTGGGCAACATAGTGAGACCCACATCTCTGAAATCTGAGTACTTTGGGAGGCAGAGGCAGGCAGATCATGAGGTCAGAAGTTGAAGAAGAGACTGGCCAACATGGTGACTCTACTAAAAATACAAAATTTAGCTGGGCATGGTGGCTCATGCCTGTAATTCCAGCTACTTGGGAGGCTGAGGTAGGAGAACTGCTTGAACCAGGACCTCAGAGGTGGAGGTGGCAGTGAGCCAAGATCACACCATTGCACTCCAGCCTGAACTACAGAGTGAGACTCCATCTCAAAAAAAAAAATAGCTGGGTGTGGTAGCAAACCTCTGTAGTCCCAGCTACATTGGAGGCCTAGGTAGGAAAATTGATCCCAGGAGTTTGAGGCTGCAGTGAGTGATGATCTGTCACTGTACTCCAGCCTGGGTGACAGCACAAGATCCTGTCTCTAAAAATAAAACAGGAAAAATGAAAGAAAAAAAGATGCAGATACCTTTTCTTCATAGATTTGACATGCTACACAGCAAAATTTGTATTCCTATATGTGCGGGTCTACTTTTGGAGTGTCTCTTCTGTTTTTATAGTCTGTTTGGCTAATTTTTCTCTAGAACCTAGAAAAGTAAGGCCTGAGATGGCTCCCATTATAACATGGTTTCTTTACCTACTTAGGCTGTGTACATTTCATAGGATGTTCT